GGGAACTTGTCAGTGTGTGCCATATTAATGAACACCAACTTCTTTTTCCCATATCTACAGGTCGAAAGCAATGGGATCCCTAATTATGCTTTTTGTTCACTCGTGAAAACTCGCCCATGAATTCAAAGCCCTCTCACCATCCATCCCATCACACAAATCCTTCCACCTCTTTCTTCATCAAGTGTGGTGGCTCAAGCCTGTCATCCCAGCACTTGGGAGGGCAACATAGCGAGACCCCATCACTACAAAAAAAAGGAAACAAACAAACAAACAAAAACTAACCAGGCAGATATGGTGGCTCACGCCTGCAATCCCAGCACTTTGAGAGGCCGAGGTGGGAGGACTGCTTGAGCCCAGGAGTTCAAGATCAGCCTGGGCAACATAGTGAGACCTTGTATCTACAAAAAGAAATGTAAAAATTAGCCAGGTGTGGTGGTACCTGCCTGTAGTCCCAGCTGCTCAGGAGGGAGGCTGAGGTGGAAGGGTCGCCTGAGTCCAGGAGGTCGAGGCTGCCTTGAGCTGTGATCAGGCCGCTGCACTCCAGCCTGGGTGACAGAGTGAGACCTCAACTCAAAAAAAACCCTTTGCCCTGTTTTTCAACGGCAGCCCACCCCCACGGCGCCACGCCCCGCCCCGCCCAGCTTCCTGAGTAGTGACCACACCCTTGCCCCCCATGTGTCTCACGTACTTGTTCTTTGCCTGCCAGCCCCACGTGAGAAGCTGAGGTGCATGGGGACGGATATCCTGTTCGATTCACTGAGGTGTCCCCAGACCCTGCCGTGGGGTCTGACACAGAGTAGCCGAAAACCCTCTGAGAAGCAGGCAAGGAACCCCAGGTAAGACCCCTTAGGCACGGCCTCTCTGCTCCACGGCCAGCACGTGACCGCCGAGTCAGCTTCTTCTCTGCGTGAGCCAGGGCTTCAGAATCCCACCCCCGCCCAAGGCTCACGCACCGCGCCCTCCATCATCCTCCTGCTTGCCACGTGGTTCAGACATCCCTTCGTTCATGGACAGGCGCGTGGGCTGCCCACTGTGATGCCAGCAACGTGCTAAGCCCCAGGACGCAGGGGTCCCGGGGACCGCAGTCGGCACCCTCGCCCGGCCTGCTCCGTTCAGGGACGGCCCGACCCAGCTCTGCCCTCTGCTCCCGCCTCTGCGCTGGCAGCCCTCCTGTGAGTGCCAAGTATTCGTCGCGCCCTGCGGACAAGACGGTCTGTGTGGCTTGGCTGGTGGCCGTCCAATTCCGCACAGACTTCTCTTAGGAGAGGGTTAGTAGAGCAGGGAGCGGGTTGCCCCCACGTCCGCGGGGACAGTGGCCGCATCCCCGTAGAGCCGGTTTCGGGCAGGGAAAAAACGCTGTTTCCGGAACAGCGATCATCACAATTCCAGGTTCCTAAGGCCTGGCTGCATGGCCCGGGAGGGTGGCTGCATCTCCCTGTGTCCTTAGGTCACCGGAGGGGGTGGCCCTGTGTCCCGAAAGGCCTCCAGGCTCCAGCCACAGAGGCGACCCAGCCCCACCCGCAGGGAGCACTGGTGTCAAGCCATGCCTGCCAGGCCTCCGTGCCTCTGGGGGCACTTGATCCCCCCAGAGCTGCCCACGCTGTGCTCTGCGGGCCTCTGCGCTCCTGCAAAGTGGGAGCTGGAGGCCTGCAAAAGCGGGCTCCCCGGCCACGTCGGGGCGGAAACAGCTCCCCTTCGGGCTTCTCTCGGGGATCGGGGCACGCCACCCCAGCGCAGGTGTGTTTCCCCAGGTCTGACTCTCCAGACCCAGCTGTGGTTCCCAGCCCAGCCTGACAAGGGACCCTGCTATTCCCAGAACACCACTGGCCTCTCGGAGGACACGACCGTGGAGGAGAAAGCTGCTCGGCGAACTCTTCTCCCCTTCGCGTCTCAGCCACACGCATGTGGGGACAGACACGAGGACGGAGCCCGGGACGGACACGAGCAAGGACACAGACGGTGAGGGCGGTGGGGCGGGGACGCAGGGGACTTAGCTTGACGGCGCAAACACGAGACACACGGGCGGGAGACCCCAGCTCCAGCCAGGACCGACTCGCCCTAAGTTGCTGGGCAGTGCCCTCCCCGAGCCTGACCTCATCTCCTGGGGAGGAGCCGCGCTTCCGGCCAGCCTCACCCCGTTCCTGGAAAGACTTGGGGCAGCAGGCTTCAGGCCGAGGTGGCAGGCGTCCTCCTGGGTGGATTTTCGGGTGGCACCTGCCACCTCCTGCCCTGTTCAGGGCGGGAGCTGAGTCCTCAGACACGCGGCTCCAGGCTCAGGCCCAGAGAGCCATTTCCCAATGAGCCCTGAAGCACACGGCGCCTGGGGCAGGCCTAGGGCCCCCGAGCAGCAGGCGAGGCCCGGAGAGGCCCTGTCCTCCAGAAGGGAGGAAGGCCCAGGCCCACGGGAGAGCAGCCCCGCGCGGGAGCTGGGACTCCTTGCTTGACTGGACGGCTGGCCAGGTTTCTGAGTGCTCCGTTTCCAAAGGGGAGAGCGGATGGCAGAGCTGGGTGTGGAGGGCAGATCCGTGCTTAGCACTCATGTGCGCGCACATGGCGGGGAGGCCGAGCAGCTCGCTCTGAGCCTCCCGTGGTCCCTGACTCCGGAGGGAGGCTCCCCTCTGACTCTGGAGGGAGGCTGGGGCCCAAAGCTGCCCCCCGAAAGGAAGCGTCTGTCACACCTGAGTGTTCGCGCACCTGCACACGATGCCCGAGAGGGAAGCAGGCAGCCCTGGTGTCTTCCTTGCCACTGAAGTACAAGCTGCTCTCAAAAATAAAACAAAATGGCCAGGCGTGGTGGCTCACGACTGTCATCCCAGCACTCTGGGAGGCCGAGGCAGGAGGACTGCTGGAGCGCAAGCATTGAGACCGGCCTGGGCAGCACAGCGAAACCTCGTCTCTACAAAAAACATTTAAAAAACTAGCCAGGCATAGTGGTGCGTGCCTGTCGTCTCAGCTACTGGGGAGGCTGAGGAGAGGGGATCACCTGAGCCCTGGAGGTCAAGGCTGCGGTGAGCCATGATCACAGCCCTGCACTCCAGCCTGAAAGACAGAATGAGACCCTGACTCAAGTCTACTGAAGTAACAGCTACAATTAAAAATATTTACCAACTGGGTGCAAGGAATGTCTCTTCACTGCAGTACCCAGCGTACATCTGAGCCTCTATTTGCTTGGAATGTGATGCGAGCATTGATGACACTACGTGGTTTGGCTTAAAGAAGACAAGCGTTTCCGCTACAGATTGGTCACATGTGACTTCCATCATCTCTCAGTTGCTGCTGATGGTGGTGACCCCCTCCGCACGGTATCTGCTGCACAAGCCACCCACCCCTGGTGTCCAACCTGCATGTCCTCACGGAGACCCACGGTCCCTCGGCATCGAAACACAGGAAGCCCATACGAGACTGCTCAGCCCAGAGCCACCTGAGCGCTCAAGCTACACACGGGCTTTCTACACCAGCACGCTCCACACCACGAAAACACGCGTCTCACTCATCTGTCCTTTTCCTGTCCTGGCATCTTTAAAAATGTCCATTGTGGGAGGGTGCCACGCACTTACAGCACCAAGCCAAAGGTAGGGACCATGGAGCAGAAAGGAGATAGTCGGCATGCTGCCTGGCCATGTCCTGAGTGGCCTGGGGGCCTGCAGCTCTGTCCCTGTCTCACAGAAGCACCTGGACACGTGGCGAGGCCCCGGTGTCTGCGGCACTCAGGGCGGAGATAGAGTCCCCAGGACAGCCTTCGCATCGGGCCCCTGGCAAGCGACCCCCATCCCACCCCAAGGCAGAGTCAGCAGCCCCGAACCCAGTGCCTGACCCCACAGGGGCCTAAGACACACCTGTCGAATCAGGCGCGACAGAGAGGATGCTGGGCAAGGGCCACGCTGCGCCTGCAGTGCTGGGACGTGGGTGCTGGACACGTGCCTGATGGCCAGCTCTCCCAGCCTCGGGATGGCTGACACCAGGGCTGGAGGAGCCCCTGCTGGGGCGGGTGGGCATTGCTATTTTGTGTGTGGTCCGAGTTAGCGGCAGCCCTGGCCTCCACCCATTAGCTGACAGTGGTGGTTCCCCCCGCCCCCCGCATAAACATCTCCAGACATTGCTACATGTCCCCAGGGGAGGGCCAGAATCAGCCCAGTGGAAAGCCAGCCTGTTTGCTCAAGTCATGACCCAGAGTTAGCAAGAATGCTCTCGCGTCTCTGTTTTCTAATCAACGTTTCTCCATCGGCTGGTCGGCGGCACGACATTCTCCTCGTCTGCCTGTATCCAGCCTCCTCTGAATGTTCTACACATCTGGGAGGGGCTTTCTAGGTGCCACCAGGCCACGTAAGTTACAAAGGCCTGCTTAGCCCGGGGGGAAGGAAATAGTAAACAAAGAGAAAACATTCCATACACAACTGGGTCAGGGGCGGCTTGGCAGGAGTTTCAGCTGGTCCTGGGCCTGGGCTAGATCGGAGTCCCTGCACTGGCTGCCCATCTGTGAGCCCAAGCTGGACCTTTGGATCTCATGTGAAATGACCCCACTCCTTGCTATGCACTCTTGAAATCTTACAACAGCATTTTGCTGTGACACCAAAGCATGCTTCTGACAAACAGACGCTTTTCCTTCTTGGCCTGGGTTGTATTTTCTTCCTATTTACGTTGCCAGCAGCAGGAAGATGCCCGTGAGGCCCGGGGAGCAGGCTGTCTCTGCAACTGCTCCTCTCGGAAGCACAAGCATCCCATGGACGACGCCTCTTAGACCTCCCAGAGCAACGGCGCGGGTCTGCCCCTTCTTACCGTGAAACCCAAACCTCCGGATTCAGACTGCACGCAGCCTGGCTGGAGGGCGAGTTGCCCGAAAGCGCTTCCAGGTCTGAGAGGGACAGATCGTTGATGACAAATAAAGCCCATGGACATCCTAACGTCATTCATGTGGCTGCAAGCGTGGCTTCACGCTTCAAAAAAAATGTGGGCTGGTCACATTAGTCCCCCTCCCTCCACGGAGCTCGCCAGCGACTTACCTCGCCTCCAGTGCACGGGAAGGGGCTGGAGTATCTGGACGTGCAGGGCGCGCCCTTGCTGGTGACATCATCCTCCAGGCCAAACGTGGCCGAGCAGTTGGCCGCAAAGTACTTGTAGGGCTCCCACGTGCTGCCGAAGTCCCGGGAGCGGTCCAGCACCATGGCGGCCGGCCGCGGGGACTTGAACACCATGATGAGGTGGGTGAAGTAGAACGCAGCCTCCAAGTCCAGCCGGATCTGCTCCCTGTGCACACCCTCCGCGGACTGCCACCACGTGCGGGGAAACCGGAACGAGGAGTCGGCCATGGCCGCCGCAGGGTGGGCCAGGTGGGGGTGGGCGGCGTTGCACTTGTCACAGTGCGGCTGCCGGCAGGTGCCGTCGGCGTTCTCGCTGTAGAAGCAGTACAGCTCCGTGGCGTTCTGGCCGCAGGTGGACTCGGCCCGGAGTCGCCGCCCCAAGGCCAGGTTGCCCATGGGAGGGTTGCAGGCCCTTTCACAGCGGGCACTCACCCCGGAGACGCCGCTCAGGCCTGCCAAGGCAAAGCAGGTGTTACTCGGGCCAGACCCGGGTGGGACCGCTCCTGGGAACGAGGCTGGACGGCTGGCCCAGCGCATGGCAGGGGAGGGAAGCAGCTGGGCGTTCCCAGAGGGAAGGCAGAGGCTGACCCAGCTCGCCTCGCAGATGAGGGGATGCCACCCTGGAAGACCCCAGATTCCACCAAAACCTCCTCCGCCAAGTCTCAGGATACAGAAGCAATGCGCAAACAACCAGCTGCATTTCTAGACGCCAGCACCAGGCAGGCTGAGGGCCAAATCAAAAACATGGTCCCGTTCACCACAGCAGCACACACGTGAATAAAATGCCCCGGCATCCACCTAACCGGAGAGGTGAAAGATCTTGACCACAAGACTACAGGACAGCGCTCAAGGGAACCAAAGATGACACGAGCAGGTGGAGGAACGCCCGTGCTCCTGGGCTGGATCCATTCAGAAAGCACTTCCGGCCACCTGGCCCACCCACAACCGTCCCAGCACCCTAGCCCCCAAGAGCTGGAGACTTTCAAGCAGCCCATGGGTTGTTTATCTGGCTCAAGTCTTTTTGGGACTTAGCAGTTTAGGGGACTTTACGAGGACCCAGGACTTTCCCCAGGAACTGGTGAGGGTCTCGGGTGTTGCCTTAACTCGCCCTGCTTATGCGCCCTTCAAAAGTGAACCCTCATCAACCTTTCCCTTTTCAAATTGTGTGTGGCGAAAACCCCAGCAACACGGAGTTCTGGGGGTGGGGGTGCGAATGCCATGAATGCGAGCATGGACGCTGTCCTTTGCTCACGGCGCATCTGTGCACACGCGTGTGTGCACTTGGTGTTTATATTCAGATGTGAAGTTCATAAGAGGAAAAAGTCACTTTAGGGAAAGGGTGAGACGAGGGAAGGGAACCACTGGGGTAGAGACGATCAGCCCCAAACCTTCCAGGTGCTTTGTCTTACAGATGTTTTCTATGTTTGGAATACACACATTTGTTTCTGGAGTCACAACTTGCTAAAAAACCAGCATGTGTTTGAGATTGCCTAATTTAGTCTTTCAAATACAGTTTGGGTCCCCAGCATGATCTGACATGTCTATCATGAGAATGCACTCAGGAGGAACTGTAGAGTTCTATTTTCTTTATACTTTTAGGCCAAGGAAGGAATAAGTTGCCTGGGAACAGCAATATTACTGCATATACTTAGTAATATGCAGTGGGACGTCATTAGGGAGAGATCACTGGAGCCCGAATGTGCACCCTCCCTTTTAACACTGAGTACATTTAACAAGGGAGAAGGCCCCCTACACGCCCATGCCCGTGGCACCTGTCCGTCTCAGCCGCCTGTGATGGGTCGCACAGTCGTCACCTGTCTGCTCAGCAGGCGTGCGCCTACAGTCGGCAACGGGAACAGCACCCTTAAACCTGACCTGGGAACCAATACGCCCTCTTTGAGAGACACACTCTTCCTCCCAACAAAGGCCGAGCGGACTCTAATGTTGCAAAATTACTGAAAAGGATAAACACCCTCCACTTACTAACATTCCGACTGCAGATTATAGCCCTTTAATTTGGGTTTGTCACTTCAAGGACAGATACCTTCAGCAAAACCATCTCTTTTCCAGGTGACAACGGAGAGGAAAAGAGGGAGAGGGAAATCAAACCTCAGATTCCGGCTAATTGAACGTTTCTGCCTCTTGGGAAGCAGGAACTCTGAGCTGTTCTCCCGGGAGCTTGGAGAGGCAAAATGACTGCTTGGACGGCGCAGAGATGGCACGTGCCCCAAGCTCACACACCCTCAGGTTCACATCCCCTCCAGACCCACACACCCCCAAGTCCGCACACCCCAGGCTCACATACCCCTGTGAACACACGCCCCCGACTCACACTCCCCCCCAGGCCCACATACCCCAGGCTCCAACATCCAGGCTCTCCCACCCAGACCCAGGCCCACACACTTCCAGGCTCCGACACCCAGGTTCACACCCTCAGACCCGTGCCCACTCACCACCAGGCTCACACACACACCCCAGGCTCCACACCCACACTCCTGGCCCACAGAGCCTTGTGACCCAAATTCAGGGCTTCTGCGGCATTGTTCTTCAAAAGTCAAGTTTAAGTGTGCACTGAGCCTGGGCTGTTTGCCTTCTTGATCACCCCGGGCTGCAGTGGCTTGTGGCCTGGATCGCACACACGGTGTGCTATGACTCACCTGTCAGGCACTCCGGGGAAAAGCATATACTGCCTGGACAAGTACTTTCTGACGGGAAACACTCGCCTTGTGATGCCATTTGCTGCCTCTCACGGCGAGCGTGTTTTCGCAACAACACGGCTTGAAGGGAGAGGCTGATGAGGGTTCGCTCTGAAGGGCGTGCGCGCAGGAAGAGCTAAGGCGACGTCCGAGACCCTCGCCGGCTCCGGGGGAACGTCCTGAACAACAATCGCAAGGGCCCCTGCCGTAAGCCCAGGAAAGCCTTGAGCCGGATAAACAACCGTGGCAAAATACCCGGAAACCCCCAAAGCGACCCTCCAAGTGCACCCAGGAGGCTGCCTGACTCCGCCGGGTGTGGGACGCAGAGCCCGAAGCCGGCCCGCAGGGGCGGGGGCGCGCGGCGGCTCCGGGGCGTGGAGGAGGCCGCGGCGAG